AAATTTTACAACGAATGGCAAACAATTGCAATTTGTTGTGGCAGAGTGTACATGAGGCATTTTTAGCAAATACATAATGAAGTTGATCTGCCTCTCAACAGTCAAAAAGAATCAATGAAATTAGTGGCTGAAATTCAAATTAAATATTCAACAAAACAATGGAAACAAATGTTTAATAGGATCTATGCTTGTAGCTTCGGTCAGCTATAAAATGACTTGGATTCTACACAAAAAAGAAAAGCACTTCAGATAAAAATGTGGTAGTAGAAATTATTTTGAGGAAATAAGACTAAAAAACATATTTTACAGAAAGTGAACGATTTTTAGTCAAGCCAGTTAAGTAACTACCTACAGAGTATAAAACATTTTTAACAATAAAGATTGATTCAAAACTTGAAAATTAAAAAGAAAAATTTTAAATAAGTGGTGTGACATAAGAGACTGCCTAATTAACACTTTGGGTCTGTTCCCTCAAAGGATTTACAAATATATGAGAAAACACTGTCAAATAGAAGCCTAGAAATATCAAGTTCACCGTGTGGCTCATTTTCATCATTTACATCTGTCGAAGGCGAGTTCCACCTACAAGCAAAAAATCCGTGTCTGTCACGACAGACATGCTCCAGCTGGGGTGAGTTAAAATTCGAATTTACTGGGATTTTAAGACTGATATTTCCCATATTACTGCATTCTACTGTCTGATACATGTTGGAAACATCTGCACTCAGTTTTGCGAAGCCCACTCCCTGGAGGTATCATGGATACAACTCTGACACTGTTTCAGTATGTGCTTGCCAAGGCTACCATGACTCACCAGTGTAGAGACCTGTCGCACGAAACAGAAGGCAGTGTTTAAAGATGCTGTGGTCTTTGCCAAGGATAGTCAGAGGAAAGAGTTTTGTAAAGTTAAAACACTAAATAAAAGGGATTTCTTGAAATAAAAGGAATGCTTGCTAAATCATTTTTTTTAAATATATTTTTATTGATTTCAGAGAGGAAGGGGGAAGAGAGAGAGAGAAACATCAGTGGTGAGAGAGAATCATTGATTGGTTGCCTCCTGCACGCCCCCTACTGGGGATCAAGCCTGCAACCCAGGCATGTGCTCTTGACTGGAATCGAACCCAGGACCCTTCAGTCTGCAGGCCGATGCTCTATCCACTGAGCCAAACCGACTAGGGCTAAATCATTATTTTCAATATTTCATTATTTCACCCAATAACCAAAAGATTAAAAATGACAGTGTGATTCTCACACTGCTACAAACAAGCTAATTTTAAAGTTCAAAAGAAGGGAAAAGAAAACTTTATTTATGACCCAGCCAAATAAGTATGAGAATTTATGTTGGGACTTTAGAATACAAGTTAAAAATAATGGTTTTACATATTTTTATAACATGACTTCATATGCAGAAGATTTTTAATTGTAACAGACAGCAAAGTAGCTGCAAAACTAAGGGTAATTTTGAAAAACATTTGGTTGAAGTTAATACATTTAGGGTTCTTTTCAATTTATTCAGTACTCTTTTGAATTTGATAGTATACTACTGAGTTAACACAAGAGTTGGTGAATTTATTTAACTTGGACATAGTTTTGAAAATATACCTTTGCTTTAAACCCAAGTTAGTTCTTCTAATAAAATCTCCCTGTTTTGTCATTGTGCATGCATATTAAAGAAAAATGTTTACTTGGTATCTGATTCAGTTATTGAAAATTTTTTACATAGGTGGAGCAGATTTGGTATATAAATCTTTTTTTAAGCATAAACTTTTATGAAATCTAAATACAGAACAAGGGGTTTGCAATAAAAATTTAGTGCCTGAATTAAGATGTGCTGGGGATGTAAAATACACACTAGATTTTGAAGACTCGGTATAAAAACAAAATCTGAAATACATCACTTGTTTTTTTATATTAATTACATATCAGAATGAAATTTTGATTATTATTTAATTAAATAAAATATATGATTAAGATAAACTGCACCTGTTTCTTTGTACTAGTTTTAACGTGGCTACTTGGAAATTTCAAGTCACACGTGGCTAGCATTCTATTGGGGTTGGACAGCGCTGGCCCACAGGATCACCTTCATTGCCTGTAGGAAACCAAGACCAGTTTCTGCAGGAAGTTCTTTGCATTTGTCCCATTTCCTCATAAACCCATTTGGAAAGAAATCATGCCTGAGGCTTATTTACATCTCCAGGGGAGAAATGCTCACAAGAGGGGAAGAGAGTCCGCAACCTCGGCCAGAAGAAACGCCCCTCAGGGCTCTGAGTCTATGGCCTTGGGCCGCGATGAATTTCTGACACTCCCTGTCCTGATGCGGGAAGGTGCCTGCAGTCCAGGGCCCAGGGCAGGATCCTAGTAGAAACCCTCTGGGGGCTGCCCCGTGGCACTGCCCCTGGTCCTCTGGGTACAGGCTGGCATCATCCTGGCTCAGCTGCGACGGCCCTGCACAATCCAGCTGTCCTCTGTGAGCTGCCATCCAAGATGCCTTTCTTTCTTTTTTTTAAAACTCTCCGAGCCCTTTCCAGCCATCAAAATCATGGGAAAGAGACAAAATGATAAAGGGAACCATCACCTCCTGGAATGACTACAGTCCCGAGAGAATAAAGGACACTTGTGAAGATGAGAGCAACCCCAGTCCGCCTAAGTCAAGATGTCACAGACTGTGTCGCATGCCACCAGGGGCAAAGAGCAGGTGTGATCACCACCAGCCCCCTTTTACAGATGGGGCGCTGGGCGTCAGCCTGGCGCTGTCCAAGGTCCCCGGAACAGACACCTACTCACACCTGGTCGTGCAGTCCTGTACTTCTCACTCCACCTCAGCATAGTTGCTGAATATGCAAATACCCAGAATAGTTTCCTACAGCATCCTCTGTTCTCACTCATAGAAGCAAAATTCTACCTTTATCTTTATAGGAAAAAATTATAGTAGAAAAAGTACTAAATAAACATTTTATATTAATTTCTAAAGGGATAATCTGGACAATCATGTCTCATTTCTAGTTCTAGTTAAAGAATCTTTTGCATCTAATATGTAATAAATGTGTAATCAGAAGACTTCAGCTCTAGCCAGTTTGGCTCAGTGGACAGAGCGTCCGCCTGTGGGCTGAAGGGCTTTTGGGTTTGATTCCGATCAAAGGCTCATGCCTGGGTTGTAGGCTCGATTCCCAGTAGAGGGCATGCAAGAGGCAGCCAATCAATGATTCTCTCTCATCATTGATATTTCTCTCTCTCTCCCCCTCTCCCTTCCTCTCTGAAATCAATAAAAAAAAAAAAATTTAAAAAAGAAGAAGACTTCAGAAAGCGTGTCTCCCTTAGGAGTAGCCAACAAATCAGGAAGACTCCTCACTGAGAGAAGTGGATACTAAGTCACTGGGGCCAGTGAGTCTGAACAAAAAGGGGGCATATTCCTATGAAGACTGCACCTTTATTTTTAGAAAAATCTATTTTTATTTATTTTGAGGCAGGCATTACTCAAAGCTTCTACATACTCAATCCAGACAACAATCCCAGGCAGTTCCTATTACTGTCCCTAATTTACAGAGAAGGAAGCTGAGGCACAGAGCCAAATGCTCCCTATAAACCCCTGTGCCCCACACTTTACACACATCACCTTCATCCACCCTCACAACCGCCCAGGAGGGACACAGTGGGACTTAGAGGGACGAGGACATTTGCCTCAGCTGATCAGAGGGAAAGCTGGGATCACAAGATCAGCAGATAATATCGCTTCCTCTACCTTAAGATACTGTTCTTATGACACCTGCCAAACCCAACTTCGCCGAGAGGGGCGGTGCAGCAGAGGCAGTTACGCCCTCCAGGTGTCCTTCCTAAGGGGACCCTGGCTCCCGTGAGAGCAGCTGCCAAGGTCGTGTGCATGCCCCTTCTCCAGGGACAGGCTGTGCCCAGAAATGCCCCACTTCTCCCCACAGCCAATGGCTGACTGATGCTGGAGTACAAAATACATCCCAATCCATCACTTACACCGTAAACCCATCCCAGGCTCTGCTTTTGGGAGCCTCACCTCAGAGACAAACAGACAGACAGACAGGCCCTGTCAAGTGCTAGATGGCAGAATTCTGGCAATAATGTAATACTTGCAATCCAAGTAGCTTAGAGGAAGCTCCAGAATGGGTATGTGTTGCCTTTTTAAATACAAGTATTTTGTCCTTTAAAAATAACCCCATGTTTCTTCCTTAAGTGCTTTGTGATGAAAGCAAACAACATTTATGTAAAAAAAGCCAGGTTTTAAGGAACACTTACTTCACTAAAGAAGCTTTGCGACATAGTTTGTCCGCCCCCCTGTAGTAGTTCACCAACTGCACCAGCCCAGGCTCGTGACCTGTGGAGGAAAGGGAGGCTCAGAGGGGTCCAGGCCCGGGAGGCACCCGGCTCAGGAGAGGGAACAGCTGTGTCACGCCCAGCGTGTTCTCCCTTCCAGGACTGGGTGTGGACAGGAACGATTCTGCTGCCCGGCACCAGCACTGCCCCTGCCTCAGCATCCCACTGGCCCACTCAGCCTCCCCGTGGGGGAGACTATATTAACATCCCAGAGCTGCCCGAGACCACTGCCGCCTGTTTGTCCTTCTGTTTCCCCTCTCCCGATCCCCTCCCTGGCTTAACACACAGACTGGTAAATTATCTCTGTACAGAAGGACGGCAGCGGAGTCACACTCCTGACCTCCCAGCCTTCTTCCCATAGCCATCAGGGGCGGCAGCAGAATGGACGCTCTCTGTAAGCCCGCATAGCATGGGATTGATTCTGAAACGGCCAGTTTAGCTTCTTGATGGCAACATTTCTTTCAAGAATGGCATCAGAAGCTGCACATACTATTCCTTGAGCTCCTGAGCCTATAGGTTTTAAATTCTGATCTCATTTT